ACGAGGATCTGATCGGAAGGGTCTCCAAAACTTCGACTTCTTGCGACTCAAGGACCATCCACGAAAGTACTTTAAGGAAGTACTTGGTAAATGTCCGGTTGAACATGTCAGCGACCTCAAAGACTGAGGGCAAAGCGAGCAAGCCGCAGGGGTGACGCGGCCGTAGCTGAGAAAAGGATGGCGGTGGACGGCGGGTTCGGCAGCCGATCGGTCAAGCGGAACGAAACCCGTTTCTCAGAAGAAAACACTTGAAGAAAACGCACGCAAACCAGGGACACCTTCGACCTCTTTTTCAAATGTGTATAGATATATATGTATATATATATATATTTATATGTACAGGCCACCTCCGATATGGAGGGGTCGGTACATGGATGTAGTCCAATCCTAGCCATGCTCAAATCAATTTTAGAGACCAAGTTTGCAGAAGGTTGCCTCCAGGTTTTGTTTGCGCACTGCAATTGCCACGCTTGAGCGAAACAATGCAAAAGAATTAGAAAATGTTCAAAAATGCAGTGGCGTATTTTGACATCAAAAGGTAGCACAGTGGCGAGTCGCAAGTTTTAGGCGCAACTAGGATCTCCAGGAAGAACATTTGAAATATCGGTGGAAGGCATTTGCGCTCTTTTTGTACAGCATTGGAAAGCTAGATGGTCGGCTATCTCGGTCTTTTCGCAGAACTCTTGGGCAAGGTGCTTGACTTTGCTAATGCTTTTAATCCACGTCTCAGCTTTAAGCTTCAGCCTTTGACTTTATCTCAATGGCGCAGGGCCCTGCAGCGGATAAAACAGCAAGCTGCTACAGGTGCTGACGGCTTCAGCAGACAGGACCTCATGTCTCTCACTGACCGTCATCTTCAATGGCTTGTGGACTTTTTCAATGCACTTTGTTTTCACGGTTGCAAAGATACATGAGCCTCATCTACCTGCCCATTTTAGGCCAATTCACCTCTTCACCATCGCCCACAGAATTTGGGGGAGCTTGAGGGCCAGGCAGTTGCTGCGTCTACTTGCACCGCTGGTTCCCAACGATTTACATGGTTTTCTACCAGATCACGAGCCCGCTATGCTTTGGTTCACTCTGCAAGCTTGGATAGAAGCTGGTCTCAGTGCTCAGTCAGCCAGACATGGTGCATCAGCTGACCTCTTGAAATGCTTCAATTGCATGGAGAGGGCTCCTTATTTTGCACTTTCGGAGCACCTGGTTACACCTGTAACCCTTTTTTGGCCCTGGCAAGCTTTCCTTGCTGGTTTTACACGACGCTTCCAAATTCATCATGAGTGAAGGGATCACCTCGACAAGGGGATGTCCAGAAGGCTGCCCGCTCAGTGTTTTGACAATGGTCCACATTGGCTGGGCTTTCCATATTTGGCTCAGGTTCTTTCGCCCTTCAGTCGATTGGAGGATTCAAAAATTGTCCAACTGGTGACAGCCTGTACTATAACCATGGGTCATTTCCACGACCTTCGGAAACAACGGTCAGAGCCCTTAAGCTCAACGGCGCTGGCTCCAATGCCACTCTGCGGCTCACATCATATGATGAGGCCATTCAAGATCCTGAGTTCTACCATCTTCGTTCAACCTTGTTGACTTTCCGGAGATTGTTGCGCAAGAATGATGACCTTCTTTTTTCTCTGGAAGATTGCATTCAAGAACTTCGATGGTAAACTCCTTCCAGGTCCTTTCAGCAAGCTCATACAGCTCTTTAGTTTGATTGGCTGGTCCATCAGCTCTCCGCCGCTGATCTATGACCACCTTGGACTGCAGCACAACCTCTGCACTGCTGACAAGACCTGGCTTCTCTTCCAGCTCAAGGATGCCTGTTTCAAGCTGTTGCGGCGCGCGCCAAGCATAAGACGATGGAAGGTCTTTTTGGTCTCAGCCAGTATCTGAGCAAGCTGGACCATCACAAGCGGTGCATTTCTTTCCAATGCTGAACACGGACACTATCACTATGACAGCAGCAAGGACAAGATGTGCCCAACTTGCCACTGTCTAGATGACCGACTACATTGGCATACGCGCCCTCGCTTTGAAGAGCTCAGGAACTCGTTAGATTTTAAAGCAGACTTTGCTGGTTTGCCCAAGTGTTTTGTCTTTCATTTACTTCCCCCTCAACTTGAGCTTCATCGACTTTGGAGGGTTTGGTTAGCGCACCAGCCTGATTTGGTCAAGAACTTTGAATCCGTCGAAGCCACCGGACGGGGCATGCACCAGACATCGTCCAACAGTAAGCACAGCAGCTTGGGCAGTCCTCAACGCTAGCGCGGGCCATATTTTAGCAGGGCCAAATCAAACGTCAGCCAGAGCTGAAATCACTGGTTTGCTTTCCGCGCTTCACTGGAGTGTTAACTGACGTAGATGCCTGCCTTTGGACGGACGCACAAAACGCTGCCGAGACACTGCAGCTGATAGACACCGGACATTGACTTTGATCTCCGGCTCGAAATCCAAGCCGTGCTCAGCTGCAGGTCCCACAGAGTTACCCTGGTGCATTGGGCGCCCTCGCACCTCGAGCCGTCGAAGTTGCAAGACTGCTCTGAGGACTGGGTCCTCTGTTGTAACCAAAGAGTAGATGAGATTAATGCAATAAGGAGAGATGTCACTCTTGGATTGCGCGCCAAGCTCATTGAGAAGTACAAGACGCAACAAAGTCCAGTTGGAGAGTCTCAGACACCACCTTTCAGCAGGACTCGACCACTGAGACATAGAAAACACTGGACCTCCCGAAGATGTTCTGAGAGTTCCAGATTGTCTCACTGAATGCCTCCCAATCAGCTGGCAAGTACAGGTCAGTAGTTTGAATTTCCCTTCACTACTGAGTTTGCCACCAGCATTTTTGAGAAGCTCTTTGAACGGGAAGGAACCCCTGGGGTCTTTGGTTGGTTTTCGGATCTCGAAGCGCTTTACCTTAGACCTTCTTCGGCCTTTTCGCCAAACCGCCAGCGACCAGGCTCCTTTTTGACGAGGTTTTGGCCATGCTCGATCTTTCTGTTTTTCGTCGTTCTGATTTCCACAAGCCCGAGCTTGGATTTGGATTGCATCAGCGCGGTGGGGCCACCTTGCTCAATCTCTCCCCCGGGTTGGCCGCTAGGGCTAGCAATTTGTTGGGAGGGTTCACGAAGCACCGGCCAGTGAGGACACGACAGGACTTGTCTCGTCCTCTTACATTTAGTTATATAGTTCTCTGATGGACCAAGAGGGCGTACGCGCTACACTACTATGCCGTGTACGGTATGCCGCGGACTCGCAAGCGGTCAGAGATAACTTATTAATTCAACCTAATTCAATGAAGACAGTGACAGTTTGGTTAACGTAATCACATGTTTTTTGCATTTCTTCTTCAGGGTTTTCTTCGTTTTTTAGGTCTTCCTTCGTTGCTAAAAGCATTTTAGGTATAATTGAGGCCTGTTAATCAAGAGTGCGCAACCAAAACCCCTGCACCTTTTCTTTCTTTCCTTGCTGTTTTCGTTTGTTTGGTCTTTCCTTCAGGCTTGTTAGGCTCGTTTAGTCAACGCACGCCCCTACCCCCTCGCACCCCGCCACCCTTTCGGCTTGTTAGGTTATCTCTTAGGCCCGTTTAATCAATGCACTCCCTCCCCCTCACCCCCCACCCCGCGCGCGAAAAATGAGAGGGCGCCGACTCGGCTTTTTGCGTGTGTCAATTCCTGTTTCCAAGGATTTCGACCACACTAAGGAAAACAATTTTAACTTAATTCAACCTAATTCACCCTACGGTCATGGAGTCATGCACTGAGCTGTGCAGTGCAGGGGGGCAGTGGACCACTATCACTCACTACTGCCCAATGAAGGCAGTGATACTTTGGTCGTGATATCCAGAAAGGACGCTTTCTGGATGTACCTGCACTAACTTTTAATATGTCGTAAAGGGCTAATGCGTGTTGTTGAAACCTTCTGTTTGACGGACCCAGCACTTCTTGCCGTTCCCTCAAGTCAAGCGCTATAAGTATTCATCTAAAGGGCTAACGCACTGGAGTTCAAAACTGATACAGCTGTTGCGAGCAATGATCTAAGTGTGATGTCGCTGTATCAGGCGGTTTAGTGCGGCCTTGGTGGAAGCGTCATGTGCCTCGGCGCCCTTGCAGAGCAGGAAACGCGCGCCTGTCGCTGGTTAGAGAGATGAGTGGTGGTTGCCCAGAAGAGTGTGCGACAAGAGTGTCCCAGTAGAATGCCTTAAAAGAGTGTCCCCGGCAACAGTCTTTCAAATTCCAAGCCAGGGCCTCTTACAAAGAGCGTCGCGCAAGAGCGTCCGACAAGTGTGTCTTACAAGAGTGTCCCACAAGAGTGTCCCGCAACACTGTCCCTAAGAGCGTCTCTGCGACCATCATGCTCGTCATCAACACCATTGTTACCGCGTGTCGTTTCCTACTGTGCTTTCGGACCACCTTGTGGTCAAGGTTTTCGCGTTTTTCCTTTTTGCTGACAGGCCTTTGGCGTTCAGACCGTACACACTGAACTCTCTAGGTTTTCTGTGCTCTCATATGCGTGTTTGCATTTACGCGCCCTCAGATCGATGTGTTGTTTGACACGTGTTCTCTCTTGCGCTCGCAAGCGAACTATCGTACGTGACCTTTTAATGTGTGCTATCACGCGCAGGGTTCTTACGCGCACGTGCCCTTGCGCGTGTATCTCATATATGCGCGCGCGCCTGCGCTCTCATATGCGCGCTTGTGCCAGAACAACGCGGTTGTTTTTTTTGCGCAAGGGCGAGGCCTCCTCAACTTTGAACTAGCCTTTTATTGTGCATTTTTGTGTTACACGACTGTCGCTGCGCACCTGTGACTTAACTGTCTAAGAGCCCGCAGCGCGGAAATTCTTTTTCTATAGATAGAAAGCTTCCGTTGATCGTCGCGTCGTCTTTGGAAGCGTGCTTGTGTGCCCTTACGCGCACGCGCTTTCATATTAGCGGTCCTGTTTGGCGCCTTTTTGAGGATAGTTTTCTGGATGGAGACGGGTCGGGAACGGCGCATTCGCTTGAGGTGCAGATCCCTTTGAGTCCTGCTTGGACGACCTGACGAGAAGCCTTCACGCATCGCAAGGCTTTCAGGACACCTCAAAACCCATCGGACATAAGCAGTAGCAGCAACCAGTAGCATTCCAATTTATTGCTCCGTGGGACCCATCCGGTTGTCTACATCCTGTGTATTGCAGAAGCAGTGCGCAATGTTTGTTCATCTTAGAGTGTTGAGTCTGGGACGGTGCGCATCTTGGCTCCGGAGCCAAGAAGGGCATTGGAGTTTAGAGTTTCTGTCCGAGGATCGGTTCAGCTCGACTCTTACAGTGGGGGACACGCGGATACCTGACGGTCATTCCCTCACGTGGGGGGGCGCAGGGGGGAACGGAGCGGTTGCGTCAGCCCATAGCCTTCCTTGACTTGTCTCACACACTCAGGGTAGTCAGGTTTTGGGCCAGGGCCGCCTACAAGCCAAATTGCAGAGCCTTTGCGCCTTGAGTCCGGGCAATAAGGTATTTACATTTTTACATTTGGTACGATTCGTTGAATGGCAAAGAATCTAAATCTAATTTAGGTTGCAACTTATATTTTAAAGATGCGAAAATTAAGAAATACGACACGCGCAAGGGCTTCTTTCTTGTTTGGTAATGTTTGCTCACAAAATGACAGGGCTCACAGGCAAACGCCCAGAAATGGCTAGCCCTAGCCAATTAGCGCACATGCAGATGTCAAGAACACCCTGTGCTTGCCACATTGCAAACTTTCTCATGTAATTCCAAAAGCGATTCACAACTTAGCCGCTCATTTTCTTCAACTCGCGAAACGCTAAAGCAGCAACCCTTCCTGCGTTCGGCGGAGCAACTTTTCCAAAGGCGCTGTTCAAATGTCATCATAGTTTCGTTTTATGTAGTGTGGTGCTAATAATGAATGTGTAAAGAGTTGCGCGCTGTGGACGCTCAAGTGAGCTGCTTTTGCTTTCCTTTAGCAGCGCCGCTATGCTTGGCAGGTACTTTCGGTGTTGGGGGGTCAGGACACCCAGCAGGTGTACAATCATTTGATCGCTCAATAGCTGCTTGGAGTGTCATCCAAGTGCGGTCAAGTAGTCAATTGATCAAAGATGATCAAAGAACAATAGACCCACCTGCTTTTTTTTCATGAGCGCATGAGCATGTTGAGGAAACTATTTGCGCGCGGTCTCTTGTCATTACACGAGCAAGTCTTTTTGACATCTAATTTTCACGAGGTCTTATGGCTTTACGCGGGCATGGTGTTGAACTCTCATGAATTGCTCCAGTTATGTCTACTCGAGTATTAGTGGCACGAATTACAACAACGCAGACTTTCTGCTAGGTGCTGTTGAAAATACTCTTATCATTTTGAGAAAGTTGCCTTTTTCATACGAAATCTGCGTGGGATCCTTATGCGTTCTGTACGCTTGCGCACTTGTGAAAGAATTCTTTCTGCGCTCTAGACTCTAGAAGAAATGCATGAAGAACGCAGTTAAGTATAGTTCCAAATCAATACTCCAGCAAATGCAACTTCAATGAAACGCTGCAGCGCATGTTTTCTTCTCCACTTCATAGTTCATTGACCTCCCAAGCGCATGTTGTTCATCTTTCATCTATTGTCTATTGTACCTGCCTGCGCAGCCAAGACTTGAAGAGTGGGTTTTTTTCGTGAAACTTGCGTTAGTCGGGATTTCTTGCGCTAAGCATCGGGCTTTGAACTTTTAAGGTTGAAGTTGTTTTTCTTGAACTTGTGAGCAAATACTAGAAGTAAACTAGTTTAGCAAGTGGCGCAAGCCAGAGCCAATTGTACACCACAAGGAGAACAGTTCAACAGCGGCAGAAGAGATCACGACACACATACAACAATAAGGCTGAGGTGGTTGAGCTATGGATAAATCATGATAAATCCAACTTCGCCTTCCCAGAGTCGCTGGGCAAAAAGTATGGTACCAACTTGTTCATAAGCCAAGATAAGTAAAACTACTAGAAATTGGAAAGAAACAACAACCTGGTTTATTTTCCCCCTTCATCCAACAGGAGATCGAGTTGGGAGGGCCAACAGTTGGAAGCAGGAAATTCTTCTGTGATGCGCTCACAGCACTTCATGTTCCGGATTCCTTCTTTTCTGTGTCCTAGCCTGACCCTTCGCCTTCGTTAGTTTATGGTCCCAACCCTGAGTTCTGGGTTTTCACTCCTATTTCGCGGTCCCAACCCTTATTTCACCATATTTCGTTGTCCCAACCCTTATTTCACGGTCCCAATCCTTATTTCATGGCCCCAACCCTTATTTCATAGTCTCAACCCTTATTTTTTGTTTCCGGACGAACTCCGACGAACTAACCTTAAATTCATTTGATTTTTCATCAAAACTAACCCTGAGCATCGGCTATTGATTTAAATCAATAAGGTCAAATCTCTATTGATATTGATTTTTTTCAATAGAACATATTTGATTTTGATCGTATTAAAATCAAAGAAAATGGTATCAATTAAATCAATAAAATCAGACCCTGGTTTGGCATGCCAAATCAAAAGGAAAATCAATAGGAAGTGACAGCTGCACAGCCTTTTTTCTGGGTGGAAACTTAAGCTGCTTTCCTGTCCCTTTCAGCAAGGGACAGGAGTACTACACCTTTAAAAGGTAGGTGTGACCCAAAGGTGTTCTCTCATACCCCTTTTTTCTGAGTGGAAACAAAGCTGCTTTCCTGTCCCCTTCAGCAAGGGACAGGAGTACAACACTTTTAAAAGGTAGGTGTCACCCTTTTATCAAGGGTCAGAGGTGTTCTCTTCCACCTTCCCAAAGCCAGGATGACTCAGCTGCATGTGCATCAAGACTCTGTACTTGGCACCCATCTTGACACATAACTTGGATGTCTCACACCAAAAGAAATTGAATGGGCCAGGACACTCAGCTGGCCCACAAAATGCTCAGCTCGATAATTGTGGTGAATCCTGTAATTGAGATATTGACTGTTGTGGATGAGATGCATGTAGCTGTGAAATTTGTGGGTAATGTGGAAAATCTTCCTGCCTTTTAGCAAGGCCCACTGGTGGAGGTCAGCATAAGTGGAGAAAAACCTTTTAGCAAGGTTGCAAGCCTCCTCAAACTCTGAAGAAGTTGGAAAGATCCCAATGGAATCATAGTGAGCATCAATCTTGACCATTGCCTCCAGGCAACTGATCATAGTTTGGCTCTTCATCATCTAAAGCCTCCCTGACAACCTGGAGGAGTGGAGGTAGGAAATGCTTTGTCTCTCCAGCCTTGGCTTCAAGGCAGGCATGCTGGGCATGTGGTTTAGAAGCATCACAGATCATGGACAATCGCAAGTTGGTCAGCCTTGAGGTAACCCCATGTTCTTTATAAAGCTCCTTGATTCTGGCAAATATTCTTTGGAGCCTTTGTGCTGGTGCAATCCTTTGTCTTGCTCCAACTCCATCGAAAAAGCACAGGTAGTGCAAGAGAGATCCTGCAAGGTGTGATGCAACCCCCCTTGAATGTACAATGTGAAGTGAGTCCCCCCTCACCAGTGCAGTGCTGATCCCCTGCACATCAAAAAGGGGATGCAAACCACTCCTTTTATCAAGGAGGGCTTGCTCAGGAGTGACATAAA